TTTTAAGCAACATTTTGTAGCCACTGGCACATCCTTAGTAGTTCCAGAAGGAAAACAAAGAAGGTAGCTGATCTAAGTTAGTATCTTGTAATATGCACTGAAAAGCAGAGACTCAGGAAACCAGCCAAATACTTTTCCTAGGGAATCTTCAGAGTATGTGACAGCAGTGCTTAGACTTGACAGTACTTTTCTCAGCTTTGAGACTTGCATGACCCTCGGAATCTTTTACCTCTCACTGAGCAATACTCAAATTTTCTGGATGACTTGTCACTCAGACTGACATGTGCCACCTCTCTTCACAGAACTCAGGCTGAGGGTTGTGCTGGGAGTGCTGTCAAAATGGCACAGCCTCTGCCTTTTTGATGGCATGTCCACGATGCTGAGAGCTGGGAGAGGAACTGCAGGTGGCTGGGGGAGTGATGTGAGCTCAAGGGGTTCCTTTGGGTATGAATTTGCATGGTGCCTGCACAAGACTCACTGTAGGCACTGAAGTGTAGCGTGTTTTCCTCCCTGCTGGAAGTGGGAGCCTAGGATGGCAAGTGCCATGAGCTTCATTGTGGGCAAAGGTACAGGGTGGACATGGGATCCAGAAACCATAATGGAGCGCAGGACATCAACCCCCCAGCCCTCCTTTGCATCTCACTTCTTGATAGTGTAAATACACCCAATGTCCTGGAATTTCTAAAGGGTGTTATTTCAGAATATAGAATCACATTAAGGTTGGAAAAGACCTCCAAAATCGAATCTGAGTCCAACCTATGTGAACAAAAGTATCTTCTTAAAATAAATTGTAATGGAAACTTTGCTGCATTTAAATTATATGGATACTTCATTTCTGGTTTTCCTATTGCAGATGAATTCCTTTAGGACTTTGAATGCTGCAAATGTACATATTTTCTTCCAAGAGCCCAAAGTGAAAGAAACTGGGAATGAGTTTTGAAATAGCTTTGATCCAACAGCCACAGTAATATTCTGTGGGACAAATTAGAACAACAAAAAAACATCCTTTAGCTTTTCAACACTGTGGTGACAGCACTAATCAATAGGAAAGGATATTGAGACACCCCATAGGACAAACTTTGCTTTTCTAGATTAATGTGGGTAGAGCTTTATTCTTTAGGTAGGTCAGTGCATGCACATTGAGTCCCAGACCACGAGACACAGATACACACCTTCCCTCCATTCATTTTGATTAAAACACCCTTACAACAAATAGCCAATGCAAGGAAATATTTTTTTTAGCTTTGTCTTGTGTTTCTACATTCCAGTTTCTTCCTGTTTTGTTGGTTTTTTGTTGGTTTTTTTTTCCCCAGTTGTCTTCAGTATTTTCCACAATCCTGCTGCCTTATGTTCCATTTTGTTGTTCTCAGCACCTGTTCTCAGCTCATCTCCATTCAAGTCATCATTTAATCTTGTATGCTCCTTCCTCCCTGCTAACTCTTCTCATTTCTTCTGTGGTTTTTCTTTTTCTGTCTCTACTTCTGGTTCAAGTAGAGAGAAATTCATACTTCCTGGATGTGGCTCAGTATGAATTTTAAGTTGGTAGCATCCTTTTGAACACCGTTCCAGATCTAGATGCACCATCTTTTTCTCTTGCAGTAGGGATTGTCAGTGCTGCAGAAGCTTTAACAGAAAGTTCACACTCCAGCATTATTAAAAATAACTCACCTAATGGATCACCTCTCAGGAGAGATGATACTAAAAGTAATGCAGGCAAACTAATCTGTGCAAGAAAGGTAAAAGATCCAAGAGAATTAAATTAATAGCATCATTAAAAAAATAAACTTCTGCTTCAGTGCCTTTAATTTGGAAAGAAAGCAGGTTAATGATAATGTAAGCAAAGGGTTAGATATAATTGGTTTCTCTTTTAATTAAAACCCTTGCAATGAGTACAAACCCGTAGAAGTATACCAGATCAGAAGAGCTCAGAATATTCATGCTTTACTTATTCATAGAACAGGAACATCATCACAGAGAATCTGTATCTTATGACCTTGGTGCTCCTTGACACAAGGCTTAAGAAGGCAGGCTGTTTCCTAAGTTTGTCCACAAACAAACTCTATCTATGAAAGAAGCAGCATAATTTCTGAGATGCTCTTTAGAGGCCTGATTCTTAGACAGTTCTGGATTGCTGCCTTTTCATGGCATCTTATTCCGTGGCTTCACTTCTGGTGAATTCACTTTATATCTTACTACCAGTCAGAGCTGGTTAGCAAAAATAAACATAGGAGAACCTAACGATGGTTCATCTTTAAGCCTCTTTTTATGAATATATGTGATTTGGGAATTGCTGTGTTCAAGTATGGTTTATTTTATATTTTTGGGATTTAAACTCTGCCTTGAATTTTTATAGCACCCTTGAATAACAGCACATACTTTGATGTGTCAGAGATTTGGCATTTTCTCAGAATGTGGATGTATGGATGGGAAAAATTATTCTTTAAAGTAAATGCATTTCAAGGATGTTCTAGTGATACTCTAGTACCAAATAAATTTTTTATCCACAAGACAGAAAACAAAATTTTTTAATAATTCTCCTGTAAATCTCTCCTTTTAGAAATGGACATTAAGACTACAGAGAATAAGGTTAAATGCATGAAGTGGTACCCTATTAAAGCAAAGCATCTGCTGGGCTTGAAAAACAAGTTACTCTAAAATTGAATAACATTCTAAAAAAAAAAAAAAAGTCTGTCCAATGTTTTCACTTGACTACATGTAACAATTCCTGCAGGAAGGTTCCAATTATTGTTTTCAGTATTTCAGAGGGGCTTTTAGGCATTTAGATGTGTAGCTTCTGCTTTTGATCATATTTAGGAATTGGTGTAAAGAAATTTGTGTTTGTATAGTTTGGTGGTACCAAGGAATTGGGATTTCACAAATGAGTACTTGGCAAAATCAAATATTTTAAAGTAGTTTATCTTTTCTAAAACATTAGCAAATGCTACCTGATAGAAGCTAGATGTTTGATTAACAGCTTTTAAAGAATATGAACTGTTTACACTTTTCTATGGCTTTTTTAAGGTATAAAAGTCAGTATTAACATGTTATAACTGCAGCACAAGAGCAGAGATTACATTTTTTATAGATGCATTTTTTTTTTTTAGGTTCTTGGAAGATAATCTGTCTCCATTCAATAAAACTGGCTTCTATTTTGGAGGAAAAACAAACATCTGTAAGTATTTAGGCGTGGATGGGTAAGATTACTTACAGGTTGTAAATATACAGCAGCTGGTCCAAGTGTCCTCTTGCATTTCACCTGTCCTGAAAATAGCTTTTCCCCTTCTCACAGTGCATCAGCATCTCCAATATTCAGTTAGTGCTCTCCATCTTTTCTGCTTCTTTTTCTGAGCATTTGAGTATGTTAAATATGAGTAGTGTAACTTCACACTTTTTTCTGACTGCTGAACTTCTATACAAACATCTATTCATAAACTCTTGGGAAATTAGTCTATTATAAAAGCTTTTGTTACTGATGTGACATGGTTTAATGTTGCTTTTGAATATTTTAAGAAGTATTTCTGCATTAGAGATGCATTGGAGTAACATTGATAAGATTCTATATAGTCAATCAGCTATAGAATATATTCTAATTCTTACCAAATACTCAGATTTTATTGCTGAATAAAAATGTCTAAATGATGTAGTTTACCTATTGTGCCTGTGACAAAATTTACAAATCTTTAGAAGTTGTTTAGATGAACATATTCTTTTGAGATGTAAAGGTAATGCCTATACTGAAAGCTAAGCAGATTCCTATGGTTTGAAATATCTTTTTTCTACTGTGCAGAAGTTCAAAGGTGTTTATACTGACAGAGCAGTTATTTGGGATGAGCCTGTCTCCTGAAATCTTTGGTATCTTTCCCTGTCCTACAGAAATGGAAGTTTTCTTCCCTTTCACGTTACATCTACCAGCCTGCAGGCATGTGGTCCCTACATGACTTGTTTCTCAAGCAGTGCAGTCAGTGGTGTCTGTCCCAAAGGGTGTGTGAGAAGAGGGCAGTGAGGGCAATCTAAAACTTGTGCAGAGTCAAGAAAAAGAGTGTAACAATTCCTATAGATCCATTCCCCTCCATTTTCCCTTCCCCTGCCTCCACAATGGGACACTTCAGCACTAAGAAATGTTGGCTGTTCACAGTTGTGTTTCCTGGCACACCAGGGCTGTTTTCTTTTTCCAGAAACACACGGTTTTAGGAAGTTGCTGTGCTTTTCAGGCAGGCAGTGAGGACAGTCTCAATGGACAGTCATGGTCTCAGTCATGGTCTCAGTATTTGAACTAACAGCTCCAAAGAGAAGCTTCCCTTGGCTGTCATGGTCATTGGCTCTTCTGCTTCCAAAATCTGGACTCGTATTTTGGAGACATACCAGAGAATTTGGGGACTTTGACAGGTGGGCTTGAGTGATTTAGTAGGAGCCATTAGGAGTTCTGCTGTCACCCTTATGTATTCCAGTCCTTGCCAGAAGTTCCTGCCCCGGAGAGGAGCTGTGTGCCAGCACTTCTGCCACTCTCATTCACAGAGGAGCATTTCAGCTGATGTTAAGTTGGTATGAATGTACAGGCAACTATTGCAGTCTTGGGGGTCAATAAGGAAGAAGAGAAGTGAAAGAAGAAAGGATTGGAGCAGGACAGAAAATGGAATGCTGCTAAGGACAAATGTTGATGCTGGCAAAGAGGTGATGTAATTGCATTTTAATAAGTAACATTTATGAGTTATGAAATATCTGCAGAAAATCTCAGAGAAATAATTGAAGCAGAGATCTTTTCAGTTCTGGTTGTCTGTGAACATGAGATCCAATACTCTATGGTTTATGCAAAAATAAGTTTATGCTTCATTGTATAATACAGATCTAATGTTGAGCTGCCTTTCAAATTATACAACACATACTTTTGATATGTAGTTGTACAGACTGAGAGATTTTTATTCTGAATTTAAAACTTCTAGCAGCTTTAGATTTCTTCCTCTTCTTGTCCCTGTCTAATTCATGTTGTTTCTTTGCCCTATAGAGACTAATTCCTTATTAAAGAAGATGCAACGCTGCAAATATTCACATATGACTAGTTCCTCAGAGGGGATGAAATAGGAACAAGGTAAATGAAAAAAAAAATCTTTATCAAGCTAAGTAACAGCCAGACTTAAATTAAGAATTGGAAGTGATGTTTTGGAAACTTGCTGCTCTGAGCTGTTGACAGTGTGGATGCACCAGCTCCTTGCTCACTGCAATAATGGAAGCAGAAATTTAAGAACACTTGACATGAATGAAATGAAGAAAGTTCCCAACCATTCACAAGAAAAACAAAGCAAAAGCACATATACCTTTTCCATCCAAATTATTTTGGACTCATTTATTTTCCATTTTATTTTATGGTAACATGAATTCTCCTTGCTTTCTTTCCTTACAATTTATAGTGTATCCTAAATTGTATCCTTTTTTCAAGGCCCCTGGACAAATATTATAGATTTGGATGAGAAACAAATACAATTATTGTTGAATTCAGTCTGTGGGAGCAGATGATATTTTATAATACACGCTTAATTGATGACACAAATTCGACTTTTTTTCAGTGCTAATTTAGCTGACCAAAGCTAGATGGTCAAAATGAGCATTATCTCTCGCCATTTTCAGGAACTGGGGTCTATTCCTTATTTTATAAGGGATGAAGGCTGCAACAAAGCAGTAGGTCTGGAATAGTATCCTATGTGCATTAGATTTGTTCAAGGAAAATACAGAGCTATGGAAAAGCTTTTATGTAAGCCCTGAATTTAGTTTCACAGCCATTCCTAGTTTCTGGGATACGCTTAAAAACATCTTCACCTTTCTGTTGTTTTAAGAAACACTTCTGTCCAATTGTCTATGCATAACACAGAAAGAATGCATTTCCCTCACAGTCTCAGCAGCAGGGAGTCATTGAATGGCTGTTCCTGCCAGGGTGTGCAGTGTTATTTTGGAAATGTAAGAGTCGTATGGGTTTGTGTGATTTTGTTGATACTGATGGAAAATGCCCTTTCTGAGACTGATAATGCCTTCTTTGTGTATCCCTGTTAACGTCCCCTCAGTCTTCCTTTGGTGTGCTTTCCCTGTAGTACTCTAATGTGGAATCTTTCGTCTTGCTCCTGGCACTGCTGAGAAATGAAAATATTCAAAATTGATGTGGCAGCTCAGTTACCTGCATGTTGTTTGGCTATCAGGATATATCCCATAGGCCTGTCTGAGCACTGAGGATAATATAGGGAAGAAAATGTAGGTGTGTAGAGTGCACATCTGGGGAATTCTGGACTAGTAAGTAATGCTGTTTGCCACTGCTTGCTGTAACTCATCACTCTAATACCATTCAAAGAGATATTATTTATGCTTAAACCTTGCAAATAATATAAATGGGGTTGCTGTTTTACCCAAGAAAAGAATGCAGTTTATCCCTAACTGTTTTGAAGTTTTTCTTTTCACAAACTGAAATTCTTAATAACTCTAAAATATTTGTTGTGCTTTTCCCTAAGCTCTTTAAAATTGATCCATTCCCACTCCATGGTCAGATCCATAGAATGGTGTATAACTGAAACTGTAGCTGGGTGTTCAGAACTGAACCAGTTTATGTATTTTCAAAAAATATAGTTATTTACCATCTTTTGTTGCCTTGTGAATCATTGCTCCTGGTACCCTTCTGAGAAACTTAACATAAGCTTCTTATTTCATACATATATGGCTGTAATTCAGTCTATGCTTATTTGTAGATGAAACCATGGGTTTAGTTTTGTTTTCAGATTTTTTCAGTTAATATTTTAAAGGTGTGTAAGGCTCAGCAAATAGGCCCTGTTTTCACATACGTTAAAAGTTTACCAGTGTGAGGAAAAATGAAGGACAAAGGCAGTAAAAAATGTTGTGCAATGAAATGTAGCAATGGAAAAGACAATTTATTTGAATGTCACCAGATAGCAAGATAAAAAACAAAGTGAATGCAAAGACTTGTATTTCATTATCTAATGATTTCACCGAGGTCAGAACAGTAGAGGAACAATAAAGATTTAAGTAAATCATATAATTTATTTATTAACGTTCCTGGCACACGTTGCTAAATATACCTCCTTTGCTGTCCAGTTGATGAGGCAGATCTGCACTGGAAACTTGTGCTCCTGTTGAGCAGAAAGTCAGCTCATGAACGGGGTGCAGGGCAGAGGTACAGAAAAATAGATGCTGTTCCTGCTGATGATTTGCTTCAAAAGTGATGTAGAAGAATGCTGCTATCTGTCAAAGCCAGTGGAGAACTATGCAGTTTTAAAGAACTCTAAACACAAATTTAAAAAAGATTAGTATTCTGTATTTTGAGTGGCTGTTCTGTAGATTTTCATTGGCTCACATGCCCTCATGCTGCTCGCTGAGACTGTAAACGAGAGCAGGGAATGACCAGCACTTGAAGTTAAGAACTAACAAAAGGTCACAGTAATAAAGTTTACTGCCATCTCTTAGAGATTCTTTCTTGTGGCAAAGATAGAAACAAATGTAGGATGTGCCTTTTCTTGCTCTCATTTTTTTTACCTTTGCAACACAAGTTTATTTGGTGCTCACTATCTAAACATGTATTATTGGCAGCTTTTATTTAAAAGAAAAAAATTCATCTGTCTGTCCTTCAAACTACTTAACTGCTAAGTAAAGGCAAGTCAGACATAGGAAACTGCTTAGATTGAAATATATTCCTGAAGGAAAAGCTGAAGAAATCTGGGACTAGGAGGCTGACTAAAGGAGAAAGCACTTAGTTAAGTACTCGTATAGTTCCCACAGATGATTAAAAAGCAGATGGCTTTGTGAGCTAACAGCCTGGGTCCTCTGGGTGTGGGCTATTAAGCAAAAGTGTCCTGGGAAAGGAAAAGGAAACTGAAGGCTCTTTTCCCTGGACTGTAACTGCCTACCACTGAGCCAAGTTTGATTTTATTCAGTCTGAGTATTGCCTTGGATTTCTGAAAAGGAGTTTTGGAAGCCTGCCTCGTTCATCAAAAATAATGTATTGTGCCACCACAGAGGCAAGAGGGATTCTCATCATTGTTTCTTGCATTTTATGATGTTGGCACTCTTCCTGAAATAATTTAGGAATTGCAGACAATAATGTTTTGGATTTTATAAAAATAGATCTCATCAATGAAATCTGTATTTTATCTAGGTTTTGATAATGTGCTTCTTCTTCAGTAAATACATTTTTTTCTGGAAACTAGATCCTTCCTCTGGACAAGCGTCACTATGTCAAGCACTTCTGTACAAAACTGAAGTATAGCAATTAGCAAGAAATTAATAAAATAATGGGAATGCTCTTATAAACTTCTGTGGACCATTGGAGGTAAGGTCCTTCTGCAGTCTCTTTTTCTCCAGGCTAAACACCCCCAGCTCCCTCAGCTGCTCCTCACCAGACCTGTTCTCCAGACCCTTCACCAGCTCCATTGGCCTCCTCTGGACTTGCTCCACCCCCTCAATGTCTTTCTTGGAGCGAGGGACCCAAAACTGGACACAGGATTTGAGGTGTGGCCTCACCAGTGCTGAGTACAGAAAGGCAATCCGTGCCCTAGTCCTGCTGGCCACCCCATTGCTGATCCAAGCCAGGGTGCCATTGACCTTCTTGGCCAGCTGGGCACACACTGGCTCGTGTTCAGCTGCTGTGGACCAGCACCCCCAGGGCCTTTTCCAGCATGTGGCCCCATCCCTGGATACAGGGTTGCTTAGGGGAGAGGGAACCTGACAAATGCAGCTTTATAAGTGTTTCCTTCTCTGATTCCACAAATGTGAGTCATACTAAGAAACTTAATTAGAAAAAAAACCAACCCTCAGCATACTTTGCAGCTGCGAATAGTCTGAGAGTGAAGCTATTTAACGTGATCACAACAGGCGTGAGTGTGTTAATTACAAATGGTCACCAGCTGAAAACAAAGCATGGCAAACAGCAATAAGGCAGGCTCTAAATGCTTTAAACTTAAGTGGTGAAATTTTTTTGAATCTCTTATACCCTGGCTGGGAGTGTCAGCATTTTTAAAAATTAAACTGAAACTGGAATTTTGGGAGATCAGGGAGTAAGATGCTGAAGATTACTGAATCAGAGATTGAGTGATGATTCCTGAGGTGACAAAAGGGAGAAATGTTTTCATTCTCTATGTCATTTAAGAAAATATAAATGACCGTATTGTGCCAGACTGGTAAGGGCATGGACATGTGCATCTGTGACCAAAACTGAAAGCTGAAAGAATAAGCAGAGGCTGTAGTAAAATCATCTCTGACTCCTCTGCCAGCCTTCAGTGATTTGCATGATTTATATAGTTTCAGTACTTTTCAGTGGCTTTCTATTTAATGATTTTGTTCAGTCTCATGTAAACCTTGTTCTAGACCTGTAATACGCAGCATGATTGCTAAAATTAACAGCCTGTTAATTAGCAACTTGTTAATGGCTCAGGCTATTGTGTGAGGCTGATGGTGTAAGTGAAAAAGATTACACTGACATTTGGTACTGTGCCCACTTACTTCAACAGGGAGCTTTCCTTGGTGTTCTTGAAAACATTCAGTAGAAACAGGGATCACTCAAAATACTTATTTTGAGATAAGGAGACCAATTCTGGCATGAGAATTATATGATCTCTCCATAAATCACCCAATACAGACCTTGTATATTGAAAAGTCTGATGGATTTCCTTTCATGATTAATAGTACGGAATGTAAAACCAAATAAAATTCATAACTTCCCCTTAGAGAAATTGAAAAAAAAAATGTCATGGAATTGTTGCAAACTTTTTTTTTATTTTGACTCATTGAGTTCTACTCTTTTTTGAAGTACTGCTTTTGTTGAGATTGCCAATATGTTTTAAGTAACTCCCTGGAAGTCCTCAGTTCATCTGTCACTGGCAGTGGCCCTGGTTTCCTTTTTGAGTGAGGCAGTTTGCCATTCTGACGTCTGTAACAGTGCCAGAGACAAGGTGCTCTGAAAGTATTTGTCTCCCTTGAACTAAATAATAGTGGGGACACCTTGGAATTTCTCAGCTGTGGTATTATTTAGTGTATAATGTTACCAAGAAGGAAGCCTGGGCACGCATTTGTGGATTCCTTCAGTTCAAGGATTTCTCATTCAGTCTGTGTCTCACCCCGTGTGTTATGAGTACAACACTCCACTGCATTTTTCTTGTTGTTGTTAATGTTGGAGAACAGGCTCCTGGAAAGAGAAGCTGGAAACAACTAAGTCTTGCTAAAAAATAGCTCTTTGGGCAATCAGACCATAAAATTAAAGGAAAGAAGTGAGGAGGGAAAAAGTAGAAAAGACACGTTCAGGGCCAGGAATATGATCAGTGTGTGAAACGGAAATGAAAGCTGGAATTTTAACTGAAGTTCCATTTTTGTTTTCTGTTTTCCTGCCTACAGTTTTCATCTTTGTCATCAAAACATCAAACGTGCTCCACTTCAGTCACTCTGTAACTGTGGTAGCCAAGGAAGGGTGTCTTTTTAACAAAAAATAGCAAACATTGGGTTTTTTTGTATGAAGATATCAAAACCTGGAATAATTCATTAAAGAGTGAACCTGTTGGCCTCAAAGTGTAAGTACTGTGTGTGATTTGGTGACCCTTTTATTCTATACCCCATGAAGGTCAACAGTGCTGAATCATTTGTCTCTGAAAACGTATAAAGAACACAGACTCCAGAATATAGATGATAGCACAAGCAGAGTGCAAAATCATAGCATAAAACCCCCCAGGTTTTAACAGGTTCTAACAGATTGTGATGTAGCTGATGAAATATCAGTAGTTTTTTGCAAGAAACCTTTTAGTACCCAGGTCTACTCAGTATTCAGAACCTTATTAATTGTAGAAGTCAGGTCAGTTGTAGTAGCTGCAAATTCTTGTGAATTTTAGATCTTGAATTAGGTTTTGTCCCAAATGGACTAGTAGTAATTATTTTCTACTGCAGTTGAGTAAATTCATATCTTCTCTGGTCCAATAATTCAAAATGGCATAATCTCTCCACCATCATTCCTGAGTTAGTTTTGCAAGCTGAATTATTTAAATGTAATAGAAAGTAACTCCTCTGGACTGATGAAATACACTGGAGTGTGAGAATGGCCCTATCAATTTATAAATTTACTGTGCAGGGTTATAATCTGTATTTTGGATTTTCAATAATTTTCTGTTCTCTGTAGTGCTTTCTCCTGGGAGTTCCCTTAATCAGGAATTCCATTTTTTTTGCATGTTCAGAGCAATAATAAATGTTTCAGTAGGACTAGGTAAGCTGGAGGGATCTGTCTGGAGCCAGATTTGATGACAAAACTCTAGATAACACAGTTTTCATCAATTTTTGCTTTGCTAGGACATTTAAGTAAATAGATTAAAAGAGATTTTCTGGACTTCTTCATAAGAAAAGCCTTATAAAATTAAGAAGTTGGAATTCTGAGGATGCTTTATGTTTTCTTCTCTACTACTTTCAAGGTGTTAATGTCAAATTTTCTTGACTATCTACAACAAAATTCTGTATTAATTTTAAGATTCATAGCAGTGTATGCAAAGACATTATGAACCCTGTGACTGTCAGATGTTATGTAAAAGCATGGAAGTACCTTAGTTTAAATCTCATTTTCTGAAGTGCCATTGGCAGTGACCTTACAAAGCCATCTGTGATAGTGTGTCTCATTTTCAGAAAATCCTGAACAGTCAGCACTGTGGTGTGGAGCTCTGTTAGACCCCCTTCTTTGGTGTCTGTGTCAGTGAAGTGGGTCAAGGGGTGACAGCAGGAAGTATTCTGCATATATTCAGGGTGTAAAAGCCTTGGTGTGCAGTTGTTTCTGGTATTCACCTCACAGTGAATACCAGAAAATCCTGGTAAAAAAAGGAAAAATCCTGTCATACATATGGTTCAGCAGTTGGAATAGGGAGCACAGGATACTTGCCCATGATGCTGTGATTGAGATGAAGTTCTGCCATGTGGAAACAAATCTTCACAGCAAACACCTGATGCTCCTGAAATATATTTAGAACAACGTTTGTGCCAACTGAAGTCAGCTGCCATTTTGAGTTCACACTGGGCAAAATTGTTTATCCCAATGTAAACCATTTGACTGACTTCAGAAATCCTTTTACTGTTTCTTTGCATGTCATTTTGTTTCTTTGCCTCTCCTGAAGTCATGGGTTTCCCTGCCTATGAAATTCTGATAATAATTTTAATGAAATTAAGAGAACTGAAGGTTTTTTAACATAAAGCATAACATCACTTTTAATAGGTGGATGTCAAAAATTACGTACCTAGCTATTTTTAACTCACATATATGCTTTTCACATGAACTTATTCAGCTTTCTAAGTAAAATGGCAAGTTCTAATCAGTAGTCAGTTTTATTCTGTTTAACTCCTGAGGAAAGGGCTTTGCTGTGTAAAAACTTCTATGAGCTGTTATACAAACAAGCCACATGACATGCTTACAACATGCCATTATTGCCTGATAACTTCTTGTATTTCACATTTGTCAAGATTCCTGCCTTCATATTCGCTTGGCAGCCTGTGTTACCATTGCCAAGATTAAAGAAAACTCTTCCATTTCTGCCCTAGAGCCCTAATTATATTTAGGCCTTGAGCCAGAGATAAGCCTGTGCTAGCAAAGTGTTTGTGTATATCTTGGAAACATAATCAGAATGGTGTTAGCTGGGTTCATGTATTACATGTGATGCAGGCAAACCCAGCAACTTTCTTCCCCAAAGCAAGTGATTATTTTTATCTGATCCATTCTCCAAAGAATGGCCAGATCCAAGAGCTATTTGATAACCAGTGAAAGCGATTTTGCTGACGAAAGTAAGTTACAAGTCCAAGTTTCCAATCCAACAAAAGATGTTTAATGTGTATAACTAAAATCGATGGGACAATTCCATCATTGTAAACAGGTGTTTGCTGCACTGAGGCTCAAAAACTTAAGGAAGTTTTTTGAAAGGTGTGGATTTTACCCTGACTTGTGTGAATTACATGGGGAAAAAGATTAATATCTAAATTTCAATGGCCATATTACCTTGGTCATCATGTGCAGATATACTGGCATATTTTGATTGTTCTTGATGGCAGCGCAGTGATATATTCACACAAGATCTGTGAAAAAACGAAAGTTTCATTGCTTAAGCTTTTACTTCTCCTGGAAAAAAATACTTCAGTGTCTATGGAGGTTTGTAGTGAATTACACTGTGGTTACAAATGTCAACTGCAGAGAGTTTCTTCTCGAGCACCTATGGAAAGGGCAAGACTGTATATGGACAGTTTTTGCTAAATGCTGCTTTTCCATCTAGATTGGAATAAGACTGATGGATGGGCATAATAAAGTGAAGGGAATGCTCTTTCCTCCTGTGCACTCATGAGGTTTTTTGTCCATCAGATCAGACAGGGCAAAAAAGTTCAGATGAATGTTGTGCCACCAAGTATAAGGTGGCACATGAGAGAAAAAGGTGGAGTGCAATCATAAAGCCTGCTCTTGTTTTTGGATGTTAAATGGTGGGGAGATGGGAGAGGGAGAAGAATGGAAGGCAGAGGAATTTTGTTTTAATTTTACCAAAAATTGGTAAAATTTAGGCTTCTTGGTCTGAATCATTTTCCATTAATATAGATGGAAGGCATAGGACATAGGATGTGTGTCACAGTCTTCAGCCAGGAATGATGTGGGGTACCTGTATAAACTAAATCTTGTAGGATGAGAGAAACCTAGTGATCTAACTTAAGTACACATATCAGTGCTTGGAAAACATGGGTTTTTCCTTTTTCTGTTTCCCAACTAATCTGATGATTGTTATGTGTTCTTAAAATATTCAAATAAAATATTTTATTTGCTTTTAGCTTGCCCAGATCTGTGTTAAGAGTGATTTCAGAACAACTGATTGGCCCTGAAGTGTTCCATTGTGTGGAGCAGTGATTTCAAACGTGTTTCTCTTCCTTGGGACCACCAGAAGGTAAGAAAGGCTGTCTGCACACAGCTGCCCAACTGACACATGGAATTGAGAGTTTAGGGGTTGATAAAGAATAAGGGGTTGATAAAGAATCTTTCACTGTTAGCTGTTAAGCTTTTTGTGCCTCTTAAGGTATATCTGGAAGTACATGGCCAGTACATGGTTGCAGAATGTTTTTTAATGTAGGGTGTTCACTGAACCCAGAGAACATTCCTCCACTCTGCCTTACAAGAAGGTTTTTGTACTTCCTGCTCCCTCTTGAAGGGCTTTTTAAGGAAAAAGAAGTAATTTGACACAAAGGAAAGCTGTGATGAGAGAATTACTAGAGGAAAAAGGATGGATTGAGTAACGTTTTGATTAAAATCATAAAATTAATTTCTAATGTATTTTCCAGTACTTAATGTTAAACCTAGTTATGATTTTTCTGGCAAAACAGCAGTTCCTCGAAAAAAATGTTGATTTTACAGACACGTATTTTGTGTCACTCCATCAGTATTTGAATGGAGACTGGACAGGTGAGCCATGAAACAAGGACCTCAAGCTGGTTTGCTGGGAGGCTCTGTGGTTATCCAGAAGTCATTCCCTAACAAGCAGCTGTGCGGGCTGTCCAGGGCTGCAAGTTGTCCTGTGTGATGGCTGCCTGGCTGGTGGGGGCTGTGTGGCTGCCCAGTTGCACAGCAATGGGACTTATCGAGGAGTAATTTTTTGTACCTGAAATTTCCTTTGTCTGAGGGATTGTTTTGATTGTGAAACCACTACAGGTACATGCTTGAAATGCAGTAAAATTAATTTTTTGTTTAAAAAACTGATGGGTTAAAGCCAAGTAAAGGTATAGGAACAGCATAAAAAAATAACTAGTTTCTTTGATTAGAAATCCCTTCAGTGGCTATGGTGAATTTTGGTTATTCTATCAGTGTGCTTTTCTGATGTCATTAGACTTTTTGTGGCTAAGACCACAATATATTTAATGGAACTGGAGTTACTAAGAAAGACATTACACAAATACGTGACTGGTACCACTGAAACCACTGAGTCATAATCTCACAACAGCTGTATATATGTATTAATGCTTCCTTGTGTTAGATTCAGGGAGTTCAAATTATATAGCCAGTTGTAAGTGATACAGGGGGAAAAAAATCCTAAGCCTTGTAATCATATAGGATGCACAGGAAATTCTTTGACAAAGGAAAACAATATTTATGCTGCTCTTTTAAGTGTTTCATTTCATCTAACTAAAGAAATTCACATGGTTTGTAGTGAATATTTTTAAAAGATAAAAGTAGAACGCTTCCAATACTGGCTAAAATTTCCTAATGTTGCATAAAAAATATGTGTTCAAATTGATTCTGCTTTGCTCTGCTTTGTTAAATCTTTGAAATTGAAGATATATGCATGTATTTTTGCATTAAAATGGAGATATATGTGTAGATGTATATATGCTTTATCTGCTGGAATACCTTTCAAAGAGAATTGTGCCTGTTCTTATTTAAATATACAAATTGAATTCTCTTTCCTTTTAATTTGAAGAAATTAGTGCTGCTCCAGTAGTCATAGAAACTGCAAATAAGACCTGTGTGTTGAATGTAACTGTCGTAGAAATTCTGAATATTGAATACAGTTTTCTTAAGTTTCTACCTGCACAAAAAGCTAAAAAACCTTTGAGAAGGAAACTTAATTAGCAATCTATCAAATATAGCAGCAGCAGCATTAATTTGATTGCTGCTTAAGGCTTCATGGTAGCATTTGTTAGGACTTAAGTAAGAGGCTACTCCACCCTCCATCAAACAAGGGCTGAAATATTCTGTCTGACGTTACCAAAAACCCCTCTGATGTGTAACACTGCCATTTATGCCTTACACACTCCAGGAAGATAGAAGGTGCAGGTATTCTACAGGTAGATGAAAACTTTTGTTATGAACGTATGTCCTTATCTTAATATCTGAAGTATAAAAGACTCTATTTTAAGTATCTGCACAGACTCCAAAAATGTACTACTGTCTGTAAAATATGTAAACAGGAATATTATCAGATCTGTACGCCTCAATAATGCAGCTACAGACACTGATGAAGTAATTGGATATGAAATTAGTAATCACATGATTGTGTGGAATTATCTGATGTGATTTGCATGCTTGACTGAGAAGAATTATGCCTGTGAATCAAGCTCGGTAAATAATTCATACCTTACCCTATAGCTTACTAATTCAACACCATTTTTCTTTGCCTGCACTTTGTAGGAGTGCAGTATTCTCCTGAAATCAACAGTCTTTCAATAATAATTACCACTATCTAGGATTAAGTTCTGGTTTGCAAACTTTTTGATGTACAGTAACTATTACTCATTCAATATCTGAAAAGCATTGTTAATTCTAATTGGTCAAACAAACCTCCTTATTTTCCTGTTTTTCTCACCTGGTTAAACTAATGCTTGGGTGGAGAGTACTGGTGCTTTAAAAATAGGTTTCATGCATATATTTAATATACTCCCCTTGCCTCTAAATCACAGCCTTTGATGTCCTGGAGTCAAAATAATTGTTAGTGGGGAGGGGAACTAAAGATCAGCAGCTTGGTTATTTGCCATAACAAATACCTACAGTGAAAATTAGTACTGGAAAAATGTTTTTGTGGGTTGAACAGCAGAATTTGGCTTCAGGTAAATAATTAGGTACCATTGGGGTTCACAGTATTTTAGGGCACCTGTGGCTGTAGATTAGGCAATTACTGGCATGTAATGATATTGCAGAAAATGCAGTGAATTTATTAATAGGGTACAGGTTTGACTACTGGGGCTTGCCAATAAAAGAGAAATCTGAATGAGACAGTTCACTAGCAAAGAGAAAGAAAGTTTGTGAGAGACCTTTCCGTGTTTATTTGCTATTCCCTTCAGAATCTTGGGGCAGAACTAAAAGACTGCTAAATATTGTAAAGGATTATATTTCTGTTCCTGAAGGCTTGAAATGTAAAACTCAGACAGCCTTTTGAGAGCCTCTGAGCAGTATGGAGTCCTTAAACTTTTGAAAGCAGTTGCAGGAGTTTGGATTGCTGTCTGGAACACTCGCAACACTTAACCAGAAAATGTCAAAAGAGAATTTAGTGGTAGGCAAATCAGTAGCATGACTTTAGTTTCTCCCTTACTTTGATAGTCCATGAAAGGAACACTGTATAAGTTTTCCATCTTGTAATTCTGTATTTATTTATTTCAGAGGATGTTTAACTAGAGGAAATGTGTTCCTGACAGTCTTTTTAAACTGATCCAGAACAGTCATTTTTTTAGGGACTCAACTCTCCTCATGGATTAAATCTCTTACTATCACAAACCAGGCTAATTCTGTACCAGCAAGGTACTGTGCCAAACATACTTGAATTTCCCAGTGTAAATGCAGCCAGGAGTCAGCTGCTTCTGATGGTCTGCAATTTGCCAACATGGTTAAACTGGAGTTCGATTCCTCTTTATGCTGGTGTGGGGGTAGAGTTTGGTCTGTACAGCTGGAGGTATGAAAAGTGCCAAACTTCTTTTGACCAAACCATCTCAAGTACTGAGGCATCTGCATTCCTGCCAGGCAGAAAGGGATGCAAAGAGCTCAGTGTCCTTAAGAGGGCTCGAATGGGGTGACTTTGTAGTACTTTGAGTCCAGAATAGGTTGGGATATGCCAGAAAGGGTATGTATCTGCACAAGCTGCAGGATTTTTAAAGAGAGCTGGTATGGTGGCAATAATTTTCCTAATTCTCAAGGAAAGAGAAAAAAGTTAAATGTTGTTAGTATAGACTTTCTCTGGCAAGAGAGGGCTGCTGTCTCTAGCGGGAGAGATATTTCAAGGGAAATCCACATTCAAACAAAATCAACATTCTCTTAGTAAAATGCTTTATAGAGGAATAAGCAATAATTATTAAAAATGAGAAAAAAATATTAGCAACTTTTGAAGTAACTTTCTAATCTCAAAGAAGAGGGTAAGAAATTATCCCATTAAAATCTTCAGTTTTGCAGTTGCAGTTCAAAGAGTGAAGAGACCAAAGAGCTTTTTACTGTGTATCAAAGGACTGACAGCTTGGTGTTCAAACAGAGCTCCAAGTTCTGATCTAAGATTAATAAACATGCAAATAGTCTTAAAAAGAAAAGTTGTAAGAATCTAATCTTTATCTTACGCAGTTGAATGCTTGTTTGAAGTGACTGGTGTATTTCAACTTTGTAAGTTGTCACATTGTAAAAGTTGTCAAACTGAGACCACTTCAGGCTGTTGTGACTGGAAGATATTGCAGCAAACTCCAAGTTACATACACGTGCTCTTTTTGAGGCAGCAAACCATTCTGACTATCAGGTCAAAAAAAAGTAGGTCATAAAAATGCAAAGTGCCGGTTATAATTATTTATGGCGTACAAAATTTCTGAAACAGTGGGTGCCCACAGCTGTGGCCTCACATATTTCTCTTCTCAAGTACTGCAGGTCACTACTTCATGTTCTGTATGAGAAAAAAATGGGACTGAGCATTTGCTGGTGCTCTAGACCTGCAAATGGCTTTCCATATGCTGCATTAAGTCACATCAGTTTATTGTGCTGTTAAATATTTGTTCATTATGATCTCATTTTTTCACAAGTAAGAATGTTCAGTCACTTTCAAGAGAGAAAAAGGGAGGATGGCTTGACCAGAATCACAGTGGGCAGTAGCTCAGAGAGCCACTTTTCAACACACTCTCTCTAGGATGATGCTCAGAGCTATGTAAAATTGGGATGTCTTTTATGCTGTAAAAATCTTATGCACAATAACATAGGAATTTAATTTGCATTTTACATTTACTTCAAAATAAAGTATCTGATGCAAGTCATCCAGAACTAAATGTTGTGTTTTTTTTCTTTTGCTTTTGAGTACAAATAGTTCTATTTGTAAATAAATGTCATGTATATTGAAAATATCTCCGAGCATTTTGTTGTCATAGCTGTTTAGCTTAAAAATAGGCACTTCGTTAGCAGATTTTATCAA